CAGTTCTGGATCAGATGTATCTGCTAATTGACCGAAAGTTAATAGTGACAGGTCCTTTTGAAATTTCCTTAGCAATAAGGACAAGATTGAATTATCAAAAAAAAAACATGCTACATGTTTGTGATCAAGATGTGATCTGAACTCTGGTTATTATCTGTGCAGATTAATAAGAGGGCATAAAGAAGTTTAGGTACTTCTGGGTACACAGCATCTAGCTAAATATCACATAGACTACACTTCTGATTTTAGAGGAGAGGGGCCTGATAAATGAAGAGATTTGCAGTCCTTATGTTGCCGGTAACTAATTTCATGACCAAAAGTAGTGACATTTAAATGACTGTTTTATCAAATACAGTCATCAAAAATCTGTGTGTCTCATATCATCACTTCCTGTTCAATTCTCCCTTGTTAGCATACCAGATTCATCAATAAACACGGATGTAGTGAGGACATACATCGGTGTCTGAAGAAGTTTGTTTTTAAATTCAAATTCAAATCAACTTTATTCATCCGTTAGGAACCTCATTTGCAGAGAAAGTGCCAGTGCAGAAACAAATAAAACATAGTGCATGTTCATTCACAGATCACAATCTAGAGTCCATAATAAATACAATAAACATGTTAAATACATTAAAAACTAAAAGTCTATCATATTAGTCCTCTACAATATTGTGTGGCAATCAGCTATTTAACAGGCGGATGGAGGTGGGAAGGAAGCAAGAGGTGGCCATCTTTGTACCTGCACCCTGAAGGCAGCAGACTATAGTGAGGGTGCAGGGTGTGTGAGGGGTCAGTGGAGATTTGGTTGCCTTTCCTCAGGACTCTGGTGTTGTAGATGGTGGTGAGTGACTGCTGTTCCTGACCAATAATTTTGCTGCTGATTTTGATAATTTTATTAAGAGTGTTCAGTGAGATATTTGAAATTCTGACTCAACCTAACTTTTGGTCAACAAGAAACATAACCAGGCCTACCACCAACAGCCTCAGTGTGCCTGGCTGTCAGTCAGGACAGCAGTGTTTCATTTTATGCAAAACAGATAACCTTAATAATATATTCACAACGAATAGGTTATTTAAAGCCACCCCCTGTGCATTCTGTGTGAGAGCAGATGCTGGAGGAACAGCATTTTTTTTTTTGTTGTTAGCTTGTTTTTGCAGTCATCCACATTAATTTAATTTCTGAATGCTACAGGTTGCTGCTTTATCATATTAAGACAGTGCATAATGCACTAATGTGACAGACACTGTGAATATGATCTAATTGTTTTTGTTCTCTCTCTCTCTCTCTCTCTCTCTCTCTCTCTCTCTCTAGGTAAGTGAAACAGATGTCTCAGTCTGGTCTAAAGTGGACTGTCTCAAGCGTCTCATTCTACACCACTCTCAGCTCTGGTATAGTAGCACCCTTCACACGGCAGACTCTGTTTTAACAGGGGGGATTTTATGTCATTGATCACTGAGACTGGTGGATCTTTGTGGTTTGATTATAAATCACTGTCTTCAATAGTTTGTTGAACCGAGAAGGATAGCTTCTCTGCTGGCTGTACCTGTACTGTGGTGTATGTTTGCACTGATTCAGAAATATTGTAGTGACAGCAGGAGCGTAATGCAGTAAGGATGTTTCATCAGCTGATGCTGTTTTATGGAAGTCACAGACTTTTGATTTAGTTTGGTTTACATAGAAGATCTTGTGATTCACCACAAACACCAGTGCAGCTCATTTTGTCTAGTTTTCTCTCCATTGTGTAATGTCCTAGCTTGAAAAGGTGGTGGTATACTGCCCAAAGGTGAATGGAATTTACTCAGACAACAGATGAGTCCATCTTGACTTTTTCTGCTCCTTTTGTTGCATTAGGATGTGTCCATTTATGGGGGGAAAAAATAATAAAGACAAATAAACAAGTAGAACAAAGTTGAATCATATACTGTTGCCAATCCAAAAGCATGTAGTTTCAATTTAGACTTCAACACAAATTAAAACTCCATTCAAGCTCTTGCTTTGCTTTATTAGTCATACATTTTTATTTTAAACAATTTCTTATTCTGTTTTAAACTTAATACTTCATTTTCTTAAGGTAAAATAATTTCTGATTATAGCTAGAATAAACTGATATTTGGTGTACTGATAATTATAAGCATTTTCTATGATTTTCTCTTTTATTCCTTTAACATAATAAGCAAACAAACAAATCAATGGCAGAACAAAGGAGTACGGAAGGCGTGCATGCTGAGCGCTGGCCCGGCATGCGCCCGTGCCAGCACCGGGGTGAAACATTTGCTACGCAGCACAGCAGTTATTTTAATATATTTCAATTTCTTACTGGCTGCCTCTTTGGTTTTTAGCAGTTTATCACCTTCTTCTTTTGTTCAAAGTTCACTTCCTTTTATCCTTATCGAGCCCACAATCAACTTCCTGACAAGCTTCCACTCCCTCTATCAGCATCGGGTATGCAAAGTGGATCAAACCTTTTCCGGTGGGTGGGAAGGAAGTCTGCATCAATTTTCTCCCAAATGAGCTATTTTAAATTGTTTTTATTATTATTTTTTTTTTTTTCAGATTAATTGTCCATGTATCTTTTAACCCCATTGTTACAGATTAAGGTAGTCTGTGACCTCCAGCACACCTAACAAGCCTCTCACTCAGCTCACCTGTCCTCATTACACTCAGCTGGTGCTCATCAGCCTGGGTAGTCTATAAAAGGAGGTTCTTTCACTCAGTTGGGTGTGTGATACCAAAGATGCCAACGCCTTCAGTTGGTTGCGCTTGGTTTGTGTGATGAGTGTGAGAGTGGTTGTGTTTTGAGTGAAGGAGGGTAAATTCTAGACTTTTTGTGAGGTTTTGATCCATAAGGAGACTTTTTGTATTTAGCATTTTCTCCCCACTGATTCTACCTCTGTTTGAGGCCTTTTACTTTGGTTTGCCTACTTCTGGGCAAAATTAGTGGGTGGCTGTGGGGAGGTATAACCCCACTCCATCTTTTATAACCCAAAGGCCTTATTTTTTGTTTTGTTTGAAGGTGCAGATTTTCCTTTCGTTACTTTCCCTGTCCATGACCCCTGTCCTACAAGGTCATGCGACTTGCAGAAATGTAACACCATTTATCTATTTATTTATTTTTCTATACTACCCCAGCAACTAACTGTAAAAAATTAACCTGTTTATCAGTACAACACACTTCTTTTTAAATCTGCAGACATTATTTATTGCTACATTTTAATTTTAATTTAAAGTGTTTTTAGTCTATAGGCATTTGTTTTTTATTTTAACACTATTTTTAAGCTCAATTAAGTTTAACCCCACCCTGATTTTAGACGGTTTCCCACAAGCTGCAATTTGACCTTACAGTCTGGATCTGATGATTGCGTATTGTCCTTTTTATCTTGTATATTGTAACTTTCTCTCTTCTTTCCTGTCGGTGCGCTCGTTAAAACTTGTCTTCACCCCACTGACTCAGTCACCTCTTGGTAAACTTAGCAGCCTCTAACTCTGCAGTGACTTCTCTGTACTTCTGTTTTTGTCTGTCACTCTGTGATTCATGCAACCTGAGAGTTTGAATTGAATATGAGCGTAAGATCCGTTTAATCGGTGAAGTATTGGACTGAGTTTACAGAGCCCAGAGAAAGAATAATCTCTCCAGTCCTCAGACATTAATACTATTAAACACCAACATACACTCAGTGACTCTTCTGACCAGTTTTCTAGACTCTGCTCACTATAGCTAGAGTGATGTTTTTTTTTTTTTTTTTTTTTTTTCGAACTTTTCGAACTATAGTCCATTTAAGTTCATCATAATGTGTCATTCATTTTTCCATGAGATTAGAAAAGATATCAGTGAAGACATGATATTTTGGAATATTTATAGATTGTGCTGATTTCAGGAAATGATTACTCATTTGACGTACCATTCTGCCGTTCTTTAAAATTCAAACAACTACTTACAATAGTTAATATTTACAATAGCTACTAGCCAAGAACCAGAACTTAAGACTGATGATCAAGAGGGAGACAAATAACTAACAGGAGCTATGAGAAGAGATTTAAAAGAGGACACAGAGTTTGCCTGTCTGACATCCTTGGGCAGAGCGTTTCACAGCTGCAAACGCTCAATCACCTTCTAACCAGTCTAGATTTAGGAACCATGAGAAAGGCCCGTTTTGATAGCGGAAATTAACCACCTCACTGTTTCCATCAGAGTATTTCAGACAACTGATTAAGACATTGAGGGCAACTGGATTGAATGTAAGTAAGTAGGTAAATAGGTAAACTTTATTTATAAATAAATGAATAAAATTTATTTTGGATATATATTGTGTTATGACAACAAAGCGTTGCAATTTGTGTGGACCTAAAACTATCTATCCATTCATTCATCTTCAACCGCTTATCCGGGATCGGGTCGCAATGACAGCAGAGAAGCCCAGACTTCCCTCTCCCCAGCCACTTCGTCCAGTTTTACCAGGGGGACCCCAAGGTGTTCCCAGGCCAGCTGAGCGACATACAGGTACATCTCAAAAAATTAGAATATCATGAAAAAATTCAATATTTTTTTGTTACTCATTTCATAATGTGAAACCCATATGTTATATAGATTCATTACACAGAGTGAAACATTTCAAACATTTATTTCTTGAAATGTTGATAATTGTGGCTTCTAAATAATGAAAACCCAAAATGCAGTGTCTCAAAAAATTATGTGTGACAAAGTTGTGACAAAGTTCAATCTGGGAAAGTCATGGTGTCACACCCTAATCAACTAGTTAACTCAAAACACCTGCAAAGGTATCCTGAGCCTTTTAAATGGTCTCTCAGTCTGGGTCAGATGGCTACACAATCATGGGAAAGACTGCTGACTTGACAGATGTCCAGAAGACAATCATTGACACCCTCCACAAGGAGGGGAAGCCACAAAAGGTAATTGCTAAAGAAGCTGGCTGTTCACAGAGTGCTGTATCCAAGCATATTAATGGAAAGTTGTGTGGAAGGAAAAGGGGCACCAGCAAAAGGGATAACCGCAGCCTTGAGAGGATTGTCAAGCAACATCCATTCAAGAATTTGGGAGAGCTTCACAAGCAGTGGACTGAAGCTGGAGTTGGCGCAACAAGAGCCACTACGCACAGACAAATCCTAGACATGGGCTACAAATGTCACATTCCTCGTGTCAAGCCACTGAACCAGAGACAACATCAGAAGCGTCTTACCTGGGCTAAGGAGAAAAAGGACTGGACTGTTGCTCAGTGGTCCAAAGTCCTTTTCAGATGAAAGCAATTTTTAGAATTTTATTTGGAAATAAAGGTCCCAGGGTCTGGAGAAAGAGAGTGGAGAGGCACAGAATCCATGTTGCTTGAAGTCCAGTGTGAAGTTTCCACAGTCAGTGATGATTTGGGGAGCCATTGTCATCTGGTAGTGTTGGTCCACTGTGTTTTCTGAAGTGCACAGTCAACACAGCCATCTACCAGGACATTTTAGAGCACTTCACGCTTCCTTCTGCTGACAAGCTTTTATGGGGATGCTGATTTCAGTTTCCAGCAGGACTTGGCACCTGCCCACACAGCCAAAGGTACCAAAAGCTGGTTCAGTGACCATGGTGTTACTGTGCTTAATTGGCCAGCATAGAGAATCTGTGGGGTATTGTCAAGAGGAAGATGAGAGACACCAGACCCAACAATGCAGATGACCTGAAGGCTGCCATCAAAGCAACCTGGGCTTCCATTACACCTGAGCAGTGCCACACACTGATCGCTTCCATGCCACACTGCACTGATGCAGTAATTCATGCAGAAGGAGGCCCAACCAAGTACTACATGAGCTGTTGTTGCTGTTTCTACTGTCCCCTGTGTCTCTCTCTCTCTCTCTCTACCTCTCTCTCTCTCTACCTCTACCTTTCTGTCTGAGATGGCGTGTGAGTGAGCAGCTGAGAGCGTTTTTCGATTCAACTTTTTTCTAACTTTTGTTTCTTTTCTACTTTACTGAATGATCATTGTTTGGATTATTTGTTGATAACTTTTGGTTAAATAGTTTAGTGGTTTTTGTGGTTTTTTTTCGTGGCGAGGATGGCGTCCTCTGAGATGCAACCTCCGCCAGCGTCCCTGAGACACAGCGTGAGGCTGGGGCCACTGCCGGACTCCTCTGTGGAGCAGGTCCTGTTGGCTGTGGGAGACCAGCTCGGCCACAGGAGTATCTCCCATGCCTCCCGCATGAACAAAGCCGTGGTTGTGTTTTCAAAGATCAGAGCTTAGTCACCACACTTATTGAGACTGGATTAACCTTTTAATGAGGAGTTCATTCAAGTTTCCCCGCTGGCTGTGCCGTCCACGTGGATCACCGTGTCCGGCGTCCCTCCATTCATTCCGAATGAAGCACTGGAACGGGAGCTCAAGCATTTCGGTAAGTTTGCGAGTGGTTTGCGTACTGTTGCTTTAGGGTGTAAGGATGCCAAGCTCAGGGCCAGATTATGGGGGGTCTGGGCCCGGGGGCCAGGAATTTGCAAAGCCCCCCCACCCCCACCCCTGCGCCAACCTACCGTACCTAAGGATTCTACAAAAGTTTCTTTCTGCTCTTCCTTCTTGCAAAGTCATCCACTAACAGATAAAAGTTGAGCTTTCGAACAAACTCTGATTCTATTGCAAGAAGGGAGAGTGAATTCAACCGATTTTGGCACATTTTCATCCTGAGCTCATTTTTTATTTGAGCCAGTCTGGAGAATGACCGTTCCCCTTCACAGTTTGTTATTGGCAGGGTCAAAAACAGTCTGAGTGCTATATAAACATTTGGGAAAGTGGACTGTAAATCCAAATTTACCATGGTCTTTAGCATTGTATTTGGGTATTTTTGTTCTTCTGAAATGAATGATTTGTACTGAACAAGTTCATCTGCCAAGCTCATGGTCAGATCAGTGGGATATGCTGCAGCAATAGATTGCATTGCTTTCAGCACTCAGTATTTCCACACATTTTCTGCAAGGAAATGCAGTTTTTCTAGTTTCCACTTCCTAATTTGTTCACTGCAAATACAGTAGCCCTTACAATGGCTTTAAGTCTAGTTAAGGTACACTATTATTACAATACAATACAATACAATTCAATTCAATGTCAATGAGCTTTTTAATAGGGTGCTGGGTGCTAAATCTGATAGTCAAGGAAAGGTTTTAATGTCAGAATGTTGTTAGGAGTTTCAATAAATGGATTTAACAATATTGGATTTTCACTGCCATTTCTGCCATGTGAGGAGTTTCGATAAAAGCAATGCCGAGTGTAATGTGGGAGTGTTGTATTGATATTGGATTTTCACTTGGACTTCACTTTGTTGGCATTGGTGTGTAAAGTACACCCCTTTACGGTGGGGACATAAGGAAGCAAAATCTGCAAAGTGAAGCGGGGCGAAACTCATTTTTCTTAAGGTGAATATCTACCAGTCTACTTCTCTCCTCGAAGATAACTATAGGTTATAGTGACACGTGAATCTGCTGTGTATTGTGACTGGACCACTGTACCGCCGCCCCTGAGTCTAGCTCGGCTATTGGACACTCGCTTCACGATATGGTCGAGACGCGCAATAAATTTGCATGGAGTTGGATATTTCTGAACTTTTGGATGTGTAGCGATTTTAAATTCAAAATAAATGTCGAAAATTAATCAAATTAAATTATGACATTTATGCACTCGTTGAAGGGGCACCACCCACCTTTCTGGTGGGAAAAAGGACGAAACAAAGTTCAATTGAGTAATTAAACGTTGGATCAGTCTTACACAGATTTAAATCAGTCTCTCATCTGAGGCCGGAATTCTTCATTCAGGGACTACTTTCTGAAAGACCACTAAGACGACAACTTAGAATTAAATGGACAATTTATTAACAAGCTATATGATAACAAAACGTCAAGAAATGATGATCAAATAATGAGCAAATCAAAGCACATCTAATGAATAAACGAAGGAATAGTTTAAGTTAAACCTAAGACTGGAGGTTAATAATAGTGAGTGAATAAAGGGGAAATTTAACCTACGTTAACGGAGTTACGAGGGTAAATAAAAGGAATTTGGAGAACTAAACTATAACTTATAAGAGTAAGCTACTGAACGGTTGACGGCATCACCCAGTTCTCATCACAGCAGTTTAGAGGATTTAGCCTACTTTGGACGTCGGTTCTCAGCGGCACCCTTGGAATGGATCAGCTGAAGTTCTGTGGCTACCGGACCGGATACTGAAGGTTCGGCGGGGAGTTCTTCCGCCGTGTCTGGATCTCAGCTTCAGGACCGTGTCAGCGCCGTTAGATACTTCGGATCTCTGGGCCTCTCGGAACCAGGTGGCAAAGCAGCTTGGCAGATGATGCTGGTCGGCGTTCAGGACTTGCTTGGTTGCAGATTAATTCGCGCCAATAACTTAAGAAAATAATTTCGCTGGCCAGCCGATATTATCTTCAGGAGTCACTTTAGCGAACAAAAATAAAAAGACTTAGACTGAGGTTCTCTTATGCGCGCAGCTTGTTACTGAGGCTCTAAAGGACTTGGGAATGCTTTCATCCAAGTTTAGAATAAAAATCTGAGCTTAAGGCACTTAATAAAACGCGGGGAAAAATTGCGAACGATAGACGAAGACAAAAGAAAACACAGAAGAGACAAAAACGGAAGAGACAAAAACTGAAGAGAAAAAAACAGAAGAGAAGAAAAACTGAAGAGAGCGAGCAAAGACTCCCGGGCTCCTTTTAAACCATCCCGTGTGGGCGTGAGCCAAGAGGAAAGTTACAGCCAATGCTGTAACCCGATGCAGCACATCGACTGGCAGCGAATTTAACTCAACTTGATATTAAAAGCGAGCTAGATCTAATTTACTCACTCACTATGATTAAACTGTTTGTAACATCACATACGATCACATTTCACTTCATTGTTTCTTATGAGCAGACGCATTAAAGCATGACATTGAAAACAGTAAACTTTGATCAGCCGTCTTCTTGACACTACAGAGGATTAACGACTTTTAAAAGTTAGAGAGGGACAGAAAACAAATTATCCATTCGAACAGAAACACCATCCAGCATAAGAAACACATACGTAATAATATTTGACAACATTATAACCTTGTCAATCAAGCTTCCTAGATGATTAATATATATTTTTGTGTGAGGTAGATAAAACATAGTATGGATACATTCCGAAACTCTTAACTTGAGTCTAAACGAGTTTCACGTTACTACTTCTAAACTACTAGCCTATCTTGGGAATACCATTTACTAAGCTACGAGGTGTATAACAAAAGGAAAGAAATACACGTGATTAGATTCCTGCCATTTGGCTCTGATCAAACCATATTCAGGCATCACCACTAGGAGGAGCTCTTGGTCCATGGAAAACCTGGAATAAATTTGTGAAGTTAACAGTTTGGCTTGTGGACATGTTACAGAATTGGGAAAAAGACCATTTCATTAAGAATGTGGTGTACAGACAGAAAATTCTGGTGAAGTGTCCATTAAACAAGAAGTTAAACCATTTTCAGGCATCCTCTTCCTTCTGCTCTGCAAAGAAAGCCAAGGAATTTATGGCAGGTATCTGGTTTTTCAGATTTGGCGCCAACTGGCCTGTTTTCCCCCCTAGGTCATTGGGTTAATCCTGAAGTGTCAATTCTGATCTTTCCCAACCAGGGTGAGAGACTCCGTGTTTATGGGTCTGTGTGGTTAATAAGCAACTTGTCCTTTTTGGGAAGCGTTAAAGATTCACTATCACCTCCCAAATGGTTGCCTGGGTCGTAAATGGGAACTTGGTGTGCAAACCGTTACTCCCCCATTTCCTGTCCAAACCAGAGGAGCCTGCATTCCTTTGAGGGGTGAATTCAAGGTGGATAGCAGAAAGCAGTTGTCTCATTACATATCCCCCCTTCGTCTCGATGGCAGCTCCAGGAGCCATTGGGACGACGAGATGAGACGACCAGGTGGAAGCAGCAGTTAGTCCAAGGAGGGTGATGCGTCTCGTTCAGAACTATCTACTTCGTTAGATCTATCGTGTGTGTTAAGCCTACTACATCTATGGGTGCGGGGTTACAGGAAGCTGACTACACCTCGAGCATGTGGCTCACCTTGTCTTCCTCTGGCTGTTCAACTTCCTGTTCCGTTTCAGGTTGTCTACGGAGTCGTAACCTAGTTACACAGTGGTCTATTTTGTACTGTAGGGCTTTACCACGTTTGACGTAGATGAAGGTTAACCCGAAGGTCAAGAGGTACCCTAACACTATGGCGGCTGCTAGTAAGGTGTCTGGGGTGGACCAAACATAGACTATTGGTTGCAGCGGGGACTTCTCTTGGGACCTTATGTCTATAAGGACGTCATCTACAGGCGTTAGGTCAATGATCTGAGTACCTGCATACTGGATTTGAGAAATAGTGTTTGGATCTAACTGCAGCGTATGCTTGCTGAAAAACGCTGGCACTTCAATCTCTGTTTCGAATTGCTCAGGGTTGAGGTAAAAGAGGGCAATGTCATCTATATGGAGAATGGCATTTGGTGGCACCTCAATCCACATGGTCTGATCCAGTAGAGAAATGCGTGTGGCAGTATCCTGCTGGTCGTAATTTACAATGGCAGTCTTGGTGGGGGTGTTAACTAACCAACGGTGACCCACTCTTTCGGCCTGCGTTACAGTCACTTGTGAGCGGTGTCTTGCTGTAGTAGGGCATTTGGTGTCGGCCACCATGGGCGTAAGGCCGCAGAGGCCATTAGTACTGTCCCACACAAATGGTTTACTGGGGCAGAGGTAGTGTATGTCTTTGGTTCGTGTGCACATACGCAGGTTAGGAGCTAGATATAGGTCAGGATTGCTGTCTGGGTAAGCGACCACTGGTGGGGTCTGAATTTGGAGGTGTGCGTCCTCTTTCCAAAACCCGACATTGACTACATCCTTTAGCCTATAGATGCTTCCTGATGCTATAATTGGCAAGTTAATAAGGAAAGCAATTTCTCGATCTTCGGGATTAACGTAGATCGGCACAGCGCTACCTAGGGTATACGCGAGGTGGGCTTGTAAAGGAGTGGTGGCCTCTCTGGTTGCAGTTGATAGTAAATCCTGAACCAATGAGAGAGGTACCAAGTACGGAGGAATCCGGCCTGCAGCCAAGCTGTCTATTGAGGATGATATTTCTTGCAACATGTCTGACATGAGCATATTCAATAGCATTGTGTGAGCATAGTCGACCTGGACCACCGACAACAAAGAATTTACAGCACGCAGCGTCTTATTCAGGACTTCTGTGTGGGTGTTAACCACCAGAACGGTGCCCTTGACTGTTTGACCAATAGTCTGCAGTTGTGTCTGCTGTCTGTTTATCTGAGCCCTGATGTCTGGGATTTCGGCTTCTAGCTCACCCACATGGCGTTTGACGGCAGCTAAGCTAATTGCATTAACAGAGGAGAGCCCAACACCAAAAAGAGAGCCAACAATCGAAGCTGCGGTGAGCAGTGCTCCGATAAAACGCTTGGACCTCCTGTTGGTACCACCTAACTCTGTTTGAGAGACAGTGAATTTCTGAAGTTGCTCTAACATGTAAGTAATGTCCAACTCGGCGTGATTTACGACCTGTCTGCTCCAATGTGTCCCGGCCCAACTGGTCAGTTGAGCTGTTACCGGAACATTTTTCTTGAGGACTTCCTTAGGGTTGAGCCTGACAAACACCTTCTGTGTGTGCAGGCGACAGTCTGTTATCAGGAGTCCAGGCTGATCCCTTAACACAATTCCAGAGTCCGGTCCTGGCTCTACGATCTCAGGGCTAGCTGGAGCAGCTACCAAGCCGAGAATCAGGAGCGCTATCAGCCAAATCATCCTGAGGAAGAGGGTGGACATAGTTAGGATGAGTTGGTAGAGGACAATCTAGAATTCAAATGTTCCCTGTCACTTTATTTTCTCCTCCCCCTTTGTAACCCAAAGTGTGCCCGAGGGCAACTCAGTGGCAACAATTCAACAATAATACAGACGCACAAATAGGATAAACTTCACGTGGACACAATATCTATGAGGACTAGGGGACCTGACGTCAATCAGGAGAACTTGGGACTGTTCTAGTTTATGACTCAAGGGTGGCGCTGGAGGCCCCGACAAGTCCCATGGGGTTGTGGTGAAGTTTAATCTGGTTGCGGTGGACCCATTTAAGGGTCGGCTCTTTGTTGCCCTTTGCGATCTTAATTTGGTACACAACAGAAGAGAGCTTTTCAGTGATCAGGTACGGGCCTGCCCAGCGGGGCAGGAACTTTCGTGCCAGTCTCCCAGACTTTGGGGCTTTATCTCCAGTGGGCTGGGTGAACAGGTAGTACCATACCTTGTCACCTACTTGGAGTTCCTGTTGGGAGGCTTTTTGGTCATAATAGGACTTACGTCCTTCAGCACTTTTGCTGAGATGCTCTTGGGTGAAGGCAAACATTGCCTTCAGGTGCTGGTGTAAGTCAGTCATATACTGATGGGTCGTGTAGGCCGTTGCTATACTGGCCTCACCTGGCTGATACAGCAGGTGCAGAGGTAGGGTCATCTGTCTGCCCGTCATCAACTCGAAGGGTGAGAACCCGGTTGACCCATGTGGAGTCGCTCTGATGGCCATCAGGACCAAGGGAAGCTTAACATCCCAGTCCTTGTGGTTGGCTAACACATACTTTTTCAGTATGGTTACCACTGTTCGGTTTGCCCGTTCTACCTGTCCAGACGACTGGGGGTGGTGGCTGATGTGAAAGTTGGCTTTGACGCCCAACAGTTGCCACAGTTGTTGCATTACCTCTGAGGTGAAATGTGTCCCTCTGTCAGAGTCGACACGAGTTGGGAGTCCGAACCGCGAGAAGATGTGGTTCATCAAGAGGTATGCTGTGGTTTGAGCCGTATCGTTTGGGGCTGGTAGGCATTCTACCCATTTGGTGAATGCACAGACAACTGTGAGGAAGTATTTGTTTCCTCTTGCTGACTTAGTGAGAGGACCCACCCAATCGAGGTCTGACCAAGGAAAGGAGATACCTCTGCGCTGTAGGGGTGCTCGATGAAGTGGGTTTGCCGGTTGAAACTGGCAGCAAACCAGGCACCCTTTTATGTAGTCAACTACATCTTTCTGCATGTGTGGCCAATAGGCCACCTGTTGGAGAGCATGGAGCGTGGCTTTGTTTCCTCTGTGTCCTGCGCACGGTGTGTCATGGGCGTATGTCAACATTACCCCCCTGTGGCTGCGAGGCACCACGAGGGCAGGCGAAGTGAGTGCTTCGGAGACATAAACCAGAAGGCCCTTGACGAGCCGCAGTGAAGAGCGCACGCGGAAAAGATGGCGCAGGCCAGGGATGGAGGGCAAGCAAGTCAGGAGGCATGGAGGAGTCAGGAGGCCCTGAAAGGAACTGCGTCATGGCAGCAATGGCTGGGTCCGAAGCTTGGAGCACCAGCAAGTCAGAGTCAGAAAAAGCCGGAGCCACAGTGGCGGAGACCGGGCCCGAGGGAGCCGGGCGAGGTGGAGGTTGAGACTGGGCTCTGGTGACAGCACAAACCAGGGGCACGGGTGGGAGGGGAAAAACAGAGGGCTCAAAGTGCCAGTTTGAGCCAGTTAAGGCCCCCTGCTTGGCCAAGGAGTCAGCCTGGTCATTAAACATCTTGTCTGGACCAGGGATACGAGAGTGCCCCCTGACTTTCTTCCAATAGATCTGGAGATCATGGTTAGAGGTCAAGAAGTCGCACGCCAGGAACAGATCTTTGTGTTTGACCGGCTTTCTGTTCGAGGTCAAGAAACCGTTGCGTTTCCACAAAGGCAGATGGCATGAGAAGCTGAGTCGCGCATAGTTGGAATCTGTACAGATCGTTAAGGCGTGGATTTTGTGTTCCACAGCAAGTTGCAAAACAATCAGAATGCCTGCCACTTCAGCATACTGGGACGTTTGGGCCCCTAGGTTGAAGCTGAGTGGTTCACACGGTTCATGGTTGACCCAGACAACACCCACGCCTGCTCTAAGAACAGTGTCGTGATGGTATGAACAACCATCAACGTAAGCTGTAATCATGTCTTTGCAGACATTGTCGTCGAAGTACCGGTGGCAAGATAATTCAGGTGGCTCGGGGTCGCAGGTTGGGGACCCTGTGTCCGCGCTGTCTGTCAAGCAGCTTTGGCACGCTGCGAGTTCCATCCCGAGAGGTGTTTTGCGATTTTGGGCGTAATGGACCTCGATGTCAAAGCTCTGAAGAGCCATAAGCCAAGATGCTACACGAGCGTTGGTTACAACGCCGTCTCTGATTCTTTGGCTGTTAAGGAAGGTCACTGGTTGATGATTGGTTTCCACAATCACCTTTTGGCCTCCAAGATAATTCGAAAAATGCTTCACAGCCCACACAGTGGCGAGAAGTGCCTTTTCGCAGTCGGAGAACTTTAGTTCAGGAGCCAACAAGGTTTTGCTAGCATACGCGACAACTCGTTTATCCGAGTCATGGATCTGGTATAGTCCTGCACTAAGGCAGTGACAAGAGAAACCGACCTCCAGATAGAACGGTCTGTTGCAGTCTGGGTAGGCAAGACAAGGAGCTGCACAGAGTTTATCTTTTAAAGCTTGCATGGCGTGTTGTTGGGACGGTCCCCAAGTGAATGGGACGTCCTTTTTCAGTAAGTTGGTGAGGGGTTTTGCTAAGTCTGCATAGTCCTCAATGAACTGTCGGGAGTAGTTACATACTCCCAAAAAGCTGCGAAGCTCTGAGACGTTCGTGGGAGCTTTAAGGTTTAACAGGCCTTGAATACGACTCAGCTGTGGTTCGACACCTGTTGGACCAACCAGCAAACCGACATAGTTCACCTTGGTCCTGCACCACTGACATTTCGACAGAGATATCTTTGCCCCGGCGTTCGTGAGCTGGTTCAGGACATGGTCAATCTCAGCGAGATGCATGTCCAGGGTTTGGCTCCTCATTAAGATGTCATCGACATATATGAGGGTGCCTCTCTCACTAGCATCTGGGCAGGCTTTGTTCAAAAAGATGTTGAACTCTGCTGGCGAGTTGGCATAGCCGAAAGGGCATCGGGTGAAGGTGTACTGCCTGTTGGCAAAAGTGAACGCCAGTTTGTGTTGGTCAGCTTCCTGTACTGGTATCGTCCAGAACCCTGATGCCACGTCAAGAGTGGAGAAGTATCTCGCGTCAGTGATCTTTGGCAGATCCTGTTGGAGCTGAGCCATAGGCCACCTGGAAAGGTGAACTTGTTGGTTCAGCTTTCGGTAATCGATGGTCAGTCGCCATTTACTGTTTGGTTTCAGTACCGGCCAGAGTGGGGCTGAGTAGGTACTGTTACATGGCCGAATGATCCCTTTCGCCAAAAGATCGTCTATGATTTCCTGAATAGGTTCATAGGACGCTAAGGGAATTTTGTACTGGCGTACAAAAGTTGGTGGTGCATCCGGTGGTGTCGGAATGCGGATAGAGTGGATAGAGGTTAAGCCACAGTCAAGCGAGTCTTTTGCGAAAGAGGCTCGATATCTGTGCAGAAGTTTGCGAAGCTTTTCACGCTCCTCTTCGCCGTTCAGGGCGTCTGCCTCAGCTACGAGCTGTTCGACTTTGGCATCAAAGTCTGGATCGTGCTCAGGTGTTTGCCCGGTTGGGAAGATAGAGGGTTCTACCCCGGAAAGTGTATGGGCCAATTCTGGCTCCGAACTGACGCTTAGGACTTGCAATGTGTGCAGGATCATCTGTGAATCCTCAGAGAGGTCGACCTGACAGATGGTGTCGTGGTCCAGCGGTACAGTTGGGAAGAGCGAGATAGCCCTGGAAGGTAGGGTATGAAAGACCTGTTCCGGCGAATGGTCTGACATCAGAGAACGGGGCATTTTTCCTATTACAGGAATTCTCAATTCAAAGTCATGGAACGACGTGCTGATCAACCAACCCAGCGGGGTGGATTTAGGGATCAGGATATCTTCGGGTGTCATGTTTTGTACAAGCAAGTGTGTGAATCTCGAGTGAAGCTCAAGAAGAGGAGTTGCTTGAGTAGACAGCCCTAGTTTAAGAAAGAGCAACGACGGCTGGAAGAAAGCTTGAGTGTGCGACAGCTTTTGTCCACGTTGTAGGTTCAAGCGAATGGGAACATTTGTGGTCATTGCAGGTATGACAATGTCAAGTTCATTGGCTACCTGACAGGCTTCAGGGATTGACTGTCCTGATATGATGTTGTCGACATCAGGGGTCAGGGTTTCCTCATTAACACTGGTAAGGGACCACAGTATGTTGTTAATGGTATCGACCTGGACTGCCAACCTGACCAGTATATCACTTCCCATGTAGACCTGATATGGTAGGTCTGGGATGACCAAGAAGTGGTGAGTCATCTCCCTTTTGTTCCATCGCACAGTTAAGGCACAGACGCCTTCAGCAGTCATGGTAGTTTTAGGAAGGGAGTCCAAGGGGAAGCGAAATGCTTTCCAAACACACTGGAGGTTCGGGTCATCCCTAGACAAGGCGTCGTACAGTTCACGGCTGATGGCTGATCTGTCAGCCCAAAGAGCCAAAATCACATCGTTGACGTGATTCTCATTCAAGTTGATGCCTTCAGTGATCAATGGCCCGGGTGTGTCGGGTCCATTGGTGTCATCGAATTTGCACAAAAATGTGTCCCTTTTTATGACTGACGACGAGCCACAACCCTGCTCGTGGCCTTTCGATGACTCAGTCAAGTAGGGTTGTTCCGGTGAGCTTACACTTGTCGGTGTGCTTGTAGCAAGTTCACGCGTCAAGGCGTAACACTGAGCCCGATTCTTGTCGGTTGCTGGTATGGGTAATGGTCTGCGGACCTGTGCCCATATTTTCAGCTGTCGATAGTCGATCAGGGGCTCAAACCGTTTTAAAAGGTCTTGACCGATGAGGAAAGGAATCGACTCAAGGGGCGACACATACACGGGGTGCATGATTTTCATTGGTCCAATGGAGATGTTCAACATCGTCATTGTATTTAAAGTCGTACTGTCTGTAGAGTACGGCCGAATCTCCATGGCGCAGGGCTGCAGCTTGATGTCCCTGTTGGACTGCTGCACCATATTGCGCAAGCGATTAAAGAGCGTGGAGGACATCAGAGTGATGTCAGCAGCAGTGTCTAGGAGTGCTTCGTGTTGAAGTTCATTTTCAAGGACGGTATTAACGTAAAACTTCTGTGCGATGCCTTTCTCAGTGAGGTTGCACAAGAATTGGAGGAAAGGTGGTTCAAGCCGAATAAGTGAGGAGTCTTCTTCGGCTGGCTCCTCTGCGGAGTTCGCCTGTACTACCAAGACGGCGCTGGTAGATGTCGTTTCTTGTGATGTGTTGTCCTGAGGTTCAAGATCGGCAGGAGTGTCAGCTGGTGAGGGTGTCACCGACTCCTGTAAGGACATACACACGTCCTCCTGAAATTCAATTTGCTGGACAGGCATCATGTTTGGCTCAGAAGTGTCATTCTGGACGGCGGCAACAGCGACAGAGAAGAGATCTGCTTTCTTATCTCCTTTTCTCTGTATTCTACGGATTATTTGTCTAAGGAGTTTACGTTCTTCCTCTGTCAGATCAGAGGACTTTGATTCACCCTTAGCTCCGCCTTTAGATCCACTACCCTTCTGGGGAGGGTCTGATTTGGCCTTTGTACCCATCTCTTCGTCAGAAAATGCTGATTGAGACTGCGGGTAAGGTCGCTCTGAGTTTCATTCTCGGCGTGGGCCATAACGATCTGACCGGTCTCTCCACCCCCTGTTATCAGGTCGGTAGGGCCGATGGGTGTCATCCCTTCTAGGGTGAGCCCCATCCCTGCGAGAGTACGAGGGTGGACGATCTTCGTCAAATCTGACCTGGTGTTGTTCACTGTCAGACCGAGGCTGCTTCAGGTTTTGACCTTTATCAGCTGGCTGATATCGGGAAGTTTTCAGATTCTGGGTTGGTCGGGCTGTTGCAGTTTGAGGTGCATCTGAATGTGCACCCACGGCACCGCCCTCCAGATCTAGGGGCATGGACCTTGTGTCCACAGCCAAGACAGTACCAGGTTCGGCTTTCTTGGATTGGGTGTGTCGCTGTTTAGCGAAGCCTTTTACAGCCAGTTCGCGGAGCTGTCTGCTGTTTAAGGTTCGGGGACAAGCAGCAACACCAAGATGATGACTCGTGGTCGGATGGAGGTTTTGAACAAACAAAGTCTTAAAGTTTAGATCTTCCTCCATTTCAGGTTCATTTTGACAACCAAAGTAAGCCTGGCGAAGGCGACCGTAGTACAACTGGGGAGATTCCTGTCTCTCCTGTTTGACTAACAGTGCAGCAGCTAAACCAGTGGGTGTAAGGGAGTCAGAAAACCCGTCAATTAATGCCTGACACAGCAGGTCATAGTCATTCTTGACCCGACGCGGTTGTCGTTCAATGAAGCTGCTAACCTCTCGATTGGAGGTAGCTTTGATCAAGTAGATTTTGTCATCCACAAGAGCACCTGGAAACTTCCTCAAGTAGAAGTCGATGTCTTTCAAGTAGGTGCTTGGGTCTTCTGAACCTTTTCGACCGGGTTCAAATCGTGTGATGTTACGAGCCATCTTGTCCAGATCCCTGTCTGTGGGATATGCCGCTTGACGAGCAGCAGGCGTGGACTGAGGTTGGTAACTCAGGGAACGATACCCGGAAGGTATTGGTTGGGGAAGGGGCGACAAAGTATGACCCGAGTTCCGTCCGGTGTCATCCGGACTTGATCGACCTGAATGTCCTCTGGGGACACGACTCGGTCGGAAGGTAGGGAATGGAAGCGTCTGTTGACTGCTTGGCGAGCTTCGCCCGCTCTGATCTTGCTGTGGTTGAGGAGTCTCGAGGAGCATTTGCTTTAGATTAGCAGAATGTCTCTCTTCTGCTTCGAGGGCCACCCTTTTACTTTCAAACTGGGCCTTCCAGTCCCTTGCATCAGTTGAGGACTGATCTAGGTTGCTTTTCATTCTTGACAACTCCTGTAATTGTTCATGAATGGTGGACCTAGCGTCCGAAAGCTGAGCTTCCTTTTCCTCAATGGTGTCATGCAAGTCTGAGATTTGGGTTACTAAGGAAGGGTTTTGATCATGTTGGGATGGAGGCTCTGCTTGCATCTCATCCAAACTGTCTCGAGCTTGCTGTAGAGCCCTTTCAGTGCCTCCCAGCTCCTTTTTGAGATCATCAATTTCCTTCATTTGTGCCCGTATCTGTTCTTGGGCCCTTCCCATGGCTTCGTCTTGTCTCTTAATTTGGACAGACATCACACAAGCCAAGCGTGCTAAAGCTTTGGGGATCTCTTTCTCTTTAGGTGGGTGTTCTGTGACCCAATCGATCACCTCATTCAACACAGTTTGAAGCCCATTGTTATCAGTGCGATTCGCTTCGTCTACATAGCCTGGGAGCAGCGGCTGAGTCAGAGTTGTCAGCGCATGCTTTAGCTCCTCACTAAATAGTTGCCAACTTGCCTCCTTACGTTCTGCCATGTTGCTTCAAGTTTAGTAAGGTTGGTAGGTTAATGAGTTTAACAAAATAGCCGTGCCTATAAAGCAAATTGAGAAAAGCTGTGAATTTAGGACCAGAAGATAAGCGCTTTAAGCAAAGTCTGGTTCACGCTAAAATAGCTGGATGTTTATTTCCGGAATGAAACAAACAAAGGAAGCTAAAACAGAATTTGGATTTTAGCTGAAAAAGAATTACGTACAAAAATCAAACCTAATCACAGCCAAATCTCATAGTCCAAACCGGATTTGGTCAAATAAACTTTACAGAAAGGAGTACAGGGAAACCTTAAAAGTAAATAGCGGATTGTCAGCTAAGCGTGGAAGGAAGGTAAAAGCTGAAAGTAATCAGGATCAACAATGCAGTTGTAGATGCAATTAAATCTTTCAAGTCTTCACCAGATAATCAAAGTAAAATTGTCCAAATTCAATTGACCTAAAGGAATAAAACAAAAATTCTGATCGTAGGTTGATTAGGGAATTATTGAATTAATTGATTAATGTTACATTAATGAATTAATTAACTATTGCCCTAAGTCTGTGATCACATTTAAGTGTTTTATAAAGGGTCACAGAAAGATGGAGGCAATGAACAATGATTACAGGATGACAAAGATTTGATTCAGCTATTCTCCTTGATAAGGCAGGTGATCTATCTGTATAAAGTAAAAATAAAAGTTGTTTATCAAGTAAATCAACGTTTTATTTGTAGTACAGAAACTAAAGACTCAATCAACCAACTCAATCTGACTATGTCTGCATGGCATCTGTTTGACAACAGGGAGGCGTGGCAGTCGGCTAGACTGCAGTCTGTTTACAATGAGGTCCAAGCAAAACAAAGGCCACGTGGCTGTGAGCCGGCTTGCAGTGCTTGCCGCTCACCACACGAGGGCGATGTTCTAGGGGGCGGTTCAACCGCTCCGTACGTCGCGACGCAACGTTATGACGTAACTATTGGCTCCACCCCTCGGGGTGGCCTGCCTATTCAACACTGGCCGAGTAGTCTCTCCAATGGACACCAAAGGGTTAACACCTCACTGCGGCTGCGCGCGCAGTGGCAATGGGAAAATTCAACGCTGCGTCTCTAACAGCGGATTGCTTCACCAGACTCCTCTGGGAGTAACAAGAGTTTACACAGACAGATCTTACAACAGCAGACAAAACTGCGGACTTAAATTCACGAAATGCGGCGATTTGTGAAAAAGAATCGTGTCTGAAATCACTCTAACAACCTCTCACTGGAAACAGTGATCTCCCGCGACAGGTAGCTAATCTGCCGGGGAATGAGGGATAAACTGAATCCTTTACAGTTACTAGAACTTCGTAGCAGACTATACAGGGTTCAGGGACTCGGAACCACGGCTCGGAGCTTCGCGAACACCGGGTCCGGCCCAAGGCCTTCTAATACAAGCGTACGGCGACGCTGAAAATCGTGCACTCAAAAATTAACAATCTGGGTACGCGCGGCGGCGGCGCGCAGAGCAGAAAGCGCAGCCTCGCTGCAATCCAAAACAATGATCCACGTGGTCTACGCTCACACACAAACGTATGCAGCAGCAAAAATCAGCGCTATTACACAGAGCTCAATATCATCAGAACATGAAACAGAAAATACATCAAACGCCCAGTTCAGCAATTTCAAAAGCATCAGACATACATTAAGCAAGCAATCCAGTAATTTCAGCAAGCATAGCATAGATCTTAAGAAGTCTAAGTTGGGAAATTGGGTTTCTCACTAGTTTGGGAATCTAAAATAATCTTAAAGTTGTCTGTTAGTGCCTTACAGAAGTCGTTTGAATGGCCTCGCACGGCCGCACCAAATACTGTAGCGATTTTAAATTCAAAATAAATGTCGAAAATTAATCAAATTAAATTATGACATTTATGCACTCGTTGAAGGGGCACCACCCACCTTTCTGGTGGGAAAAAGGACGAAACAAAGTTCAATTGAGTAATTAAACGTTGGATCAGTCTTACACAGATTTAAATCAGTCTCTCATCTGAGGCCGGAATTCTTCATTCAGGGACTACTTTCTGAAAGACCACTAAGACGACAACTTAAAATTAAATGGACAATTTATTAACAAGCTATATGATAACAAAACGTCAATAAATGATGATCAAATAATGAGCAAATCAAAGCACATCTAATGAATAAACAAAGGAATAGTTTAAGTTAAACCTAAGACTGGAGGTTAATAATAGTGAGTGAATAAGGGGAAATTTAACCTACGTTAACGGAGTTACGAGGGTAAATAAAAGGAATTTGGAGAACTAAACTATAACTTATAAGAGTAAGCTACTGAACGGTTGACGGCATCACCCAGTTCTCATCACAGCAGTTTAGAGGATTTAGCCTACTTTGGACGTCGGTTCTCAGCGGCACCCTTGGAATGGATCAGCTGAAGTTCTGTGGCTACCGGACCGGATACTGAAGGTTCGGCGGGGAGTTCTTCCGCCGTGTCTGGATCTCAGCTTCAGGACCGTGTCAGCGCCGTTAGATACTTCGGATCTCTGGGCCTCTCGGAACCAGGTGGCAAAGCAGCTTGGCAGATGATGCTGGTCGGCGTTCAGGACTTGCTTGGTTGCAGATTAATTCGCGCCAATAACTTAAGAAAATAATTTCGCTGGCCAGCCGATATTATCTTCAGGAGTCACTTTAGCGAACAAAAATAAAAAGACTTAGACTGAGGTTCTCTTATGCGCGCAGCTTGTTACTGAGGCTCTAAAGGACTTGGGAATGCTTTCATCCAAGTTTAGAATAAAAATCTGAGCTTAAGGCACTTAATAAAACGCGGGGAAAAATTGCGAACGATAGACGAAGACAAAAGAAAACACAGAAGAGACAAAAACGGAAGAGACAAAAACTGAAGAGAAAAAACAGAAGAGAAGAAAAACTGAAGAGAGCGAGCAAAGACTCCCGGGCTCCTTTTAAACCATCCCGTGTGGGCGTGAGCCAAGAGGAAAGTTACAGCCAATGCTGTAACCCGATGCAGCACATCGACTGGCAGCGAATTTAACTCAACTTGATATTAAAAGCGAGCTAGATCTAATTTACTCACTCACTATGATTAAACTGTTTGTAACATCACATACGATCACATTTCACTTCATTGTTTCTTATGAGCAGACGCATTAAAGCATGACATTGAAAACAGTTAACTTTGATCAGCCGTCTTCTTGACACTACAGAGGATTAACGACTTTTAAAAGTTAGAGAGGGACAGAAAACAAATTATCCATTCGAACAGAAACACCATCCAGCATAAGAAACACATACGTAATAATATTTGACAACATTATAACCTTGTCAATCAAGCTTCCTAGATGATTAATATATATTTTTGTGTGAGGTAGATAAAACATAGTATGGATACATTCCGAAACTCTTAACTTGAGTCTAAACGAGTTTCACGTTACTACTTCTAAACTACTAGCCTATCTTGGGAATACCATTTACTAAGCTACGAGGTGTATAACAAAAGGAAAGAAATACACGTGATTAGATTCCTGCCATTTGGCTCTGATCAAACCATATTCAGGCATCACCACTAGGAGGAGCTCTTGGTCCATGGAAAACCTGGAATAAATTTGTGAAGTTAACAGTTTGGCTTGTGGACATGTTACAGAATTGGGAAAAAGACCATTTCATTAAGAATGTGGTGTACAGACAGAAAATTCTGGTGAAGTGTCCATTAAACAAGAAGTTAAACCATTTTCAGGCATCCTCTTCCTTCTGCTCTGCAAAGAAAGCCAAGGAATTTATGGCAGGTATCTGGTTTTTCAGATTTGGCGCCAACTGGTCTGTTTTCCCCCCTAGGTCATTGGGTTAATCCTGAAGTGTCAATTCTGATCTTTCCCAACCAGGGTGAGAGACTCCGTGTTTATGGGTCTGTGTGGTTGATAAGCAACTTGTCCTTTTTGGGAAGCGTTAAAGATTTACTATCACCTCCCAAATGGTTGCCTGGGTCGTAAATGGGAACTTGGTGTGCAAACCGTTACTCCCCCATTTCCTGTCCAAACCAGAGGAGCCTGCATTCCTTTGAGGGGTGAATTCAAGGTGGATAGCAGAAAGCAGTTGTCTCATTACAGATGTGTCGCAATGACAGTTTCGATGCACTCCAAGGACCATGTCATATTGTGTACACACAATACTGTGTGGAAGCGAAATCACTTCTCATAGAAAATAGGTCCAGCTTCTAATAGCTGTCTACTGGGGCCAGCGTTAGGCCCAGGATATGCTTGCCGTGTGCACATTTCATGCCCAAATGCATTGCCATACGTGTTTTATGTCGATGTTACGCGTGGTAGTACACCTGAACACAAGGTATGCAGACATGTGTGCATGTTACAATATTGACACAACCGCGAGGGGCGATCTTACGAATTTCCATGTTGAGCTCGTGGTAGAGTCAAACAATGGTGGAAAATATTAATGAGAGCCCGGTTGGTTATCTGCCCCCTACATGATACCGCCAGTATCCAATGTTGCCAATTTAACGACTTTGTCGATAGATTTAGCGACTTTTGGCTGTCTCTGCCAACTAAAAATCATCTAGCGACTTAGCTGCTTTTTAGGTGAATCTGGCGACTTAAAAAAAACACATCTCTCGAGTGTCAAAATCATTGTTTTTCACTGTAACTTCAGCTCTGCACCGCCACCAGAAGCTTATTTCATGGTTAAGCAGCACTGCGCATTAGCCCCGATCTCGAAACTTAACCCTTTTTGGATTCCCGTGGGCTCGGCGGTGGCTGCCTGTCCCTCGGGCTCGGCGGCCGCCGCCGCTGGCCCGGTGCGCGGGGTGGCTGATGGTGCACACTCTGGTGCTACGGCGCAGCAGTTTGTTTCTGGGGTTAAACCAGGAATGGTTAAATACCAGCCTTTGAATTGTGTGGATGAAGTGTGTGAGAGTGCGTGCAGTGTGAAGCAGGATGAGGCTCACACAGCAGGGCAGGTGGAGACCTGCGCTCCTGAGCAGGTCGGGGCTGCAGGTGAGCCGATGCAGGAGGAGGCTGCTGGCATAGAGCAGAAGCTGCAGACTGACTCTCGGGCTGCTCCAGCTCACAGTCAGCAGGCAGGGGTTTTCTCTAATGCTGATGTAGATTCTGATTGTGTCTCTGTAGCAGACAGTGTGTCACTGAATCCAGATTTATACTCTCTTGAGGAGGTGACAGGTTTTCTGGATGACTCCTTTGGCAGATCAGTGGAGGTGACAGACTATTTCCCTGACATGCAGAAGTTTGTCCAGTCTGTGGACACTCTGGAGAAGGTTGTAGGTAAGAACTCACTCAGCCATGGCTCTAACCGTAGCGCTGGAGTGGCTGTTTTATTCTCCCCTTCCTTACCTGTAAATATTTTAGCCAGCTCAGAGATCATGGTGGGCAGAGCTTTGATGGTGAAGGTGGAGGTTAAAACATCCCTCTGCTAAGCAGTACACCTAGGTGAGAGTCTCTGACGGCATGGTTAGTGCAGCCAGACTCAACAGGTTTTATATGTCCTCTTCTTTTATCACTTGTGCAGCCAGGTGTCAGATCCATCCTGTTGGCTTCACAGACCATCACTTGGTTTTATTGGAAATGTTTTTTTAACCTCTCCTGGAAAGTCCAGGTCATCCTGGCATTTTAACGTTAAGCTTTTACATGATTTTAACTTTTATAATAATTATAAATTGTTTTGGGCTGAATGGAGGTCCAGGAAGGAGGATTTCCCCTCTCTAAGTCAGTGGTGGGAGGTAGGAAAGGGGCAGATTAGGGTGTTCTGCCAACAGTACACTGCCTACTCCACTGCTAAGGGCCATGGACCAGCTGAAGGCAGAGATCAGGGAGCTGGAGTGTGTGCCTGTGGGGGACCCTGAGCAGCTGTTCTCCAAAAAGCAGCAGCTGAACTCTTTCCTCCTGGAGAAAGCTAAAGGAGCCCTGGTCCGAGCCCGCTTCACCAGCATCAGGGACATTGATGCTCCAACAACCTTCTTTTTCAACCTGGAGAAGTCGGAAGGCCAAAAGAAATAGATGGTGTGTCTCTGTCTGCCTGATGGGGGGTTAACGTCAGACCCCGCTGAGATGAGGAGGCATGCTGTGTCGTTTTACTCGGAGCTGTTTCGAGCTGAACATGGTGATGTGGAGGCTGCAGCTGAACTCCTACAGGACCTTCCTCAGCTGAGCCCAGCAGAACGGGACACCCTGAGCCTCGACATCACCATGGAGGCGCTAACCTCTGCGGTGACACACATGGCCTCAGGCAAAGCTCCGGGTATGGATGGGTTACCAGCGGATTTTTATAAACACTTTTGGAGTACCCTGGGACATGATCTTCTGGGTAACTCTTCCAGCTTCCTGCAGGCCCACAGTGATATCACTGCTACCCAAGAAGGGGGACCTCACCCTGCTGAAAAACCGGAGACCAGTAGCCCTTTTATGTAGTGACTATAAAATATTGTCAAAGGTTTTAGCTAATAAACTGAAGGTTTTTATGGATGTTTTTATTTGTGCTGATCAGTTTTACTGTGTCCCTGACAGATCCATCCTGGACAATCTGTTTTTAATGAGAGACACTTTTGATGTGTGTAGACTTTACAATCTGAAGACTGGATTACTCTCTATTGACCAGGAGAAGGCCTTTGATCGTGTTGATCACTCCTTTTTATTTTCCACACTGCAGGCCTTTAGTGTTGGGGAGCACTTCTTGTCCTGGGTGAAGTTGTTGTACACTGGTGCATGTTGTGTGTTAAAGTGGGGGATAGGCTAAGCAGTCCTGTACCAGTGGGCAGAGGCATCAGGCAGGGCTGCCCTCTCTCTAGTCAACTGTACAGTGTGGTCATTGAGCCTCTTCTTTGTCAGCTCAGGAGGCGGTTGAGGGGCTTATGTCTGCCTGAACCGGCTCAGAGCCTTTGATTGTGTCAGCCTATGCTGACGATGTTAATGTTTTTGTTCAGGGCCAGGAAGATGTCCAGGAACTTAAGCATTGCCTGGATCTTTCTGAGAGGGCTGCATCAGCCAAAGTGAACTGGGAGAAGAGCGAGGCAGTTTTAGTCGGCCACTGGAGTGCAGGAAGCACCCCTAGTCTTCCTGGTGGCCTTAGGTGGGGAAGCAGAGGGCTAAAGGTCTTGGGAGTGTATTTGGGGAGTGAGGAAATTACTGCTAAAAAATGGGAGAGAGTGCTGGAAAAGGTAAAAGCCAAGTTAACTAAATGGAAATGGTTGCTACCTCAGATGTCTTACAGGGGAAGAGCTCTGATTGTCAATTACCTGGTGGCCTCGTCTCTGTGGCATAGACTCCAAGTGCTGAACCCTCCACCAAGCCTCGTGGGACAGCTGCAGCGACTCCTGGTGGACTTTTTCTGGTCTGGTCACCATTGGCTATGAGCGTCAGTCCTGTACCTTCCTGTGGCAGAGGGGGGGCAGGGTCTGATAGATATCGCCTCCAGGACCGCTGCCTTCAGGCTTCAGGCAGCCCGACAGTTTCTGTATGGACTTCCTAACTGCTGGTCAGATGTAGCTCGGCTGCTGCTCCGGAAGGCTGGGCGGCTTCGCTTTGACAAACAGCTGTTTCTTCTGAAGCCCCCTGCTCTCACCTTCACTGAACTGACACCTTTCTACAGCTCTGGGTTTGTTGCGTGGAGGACTCTGGTTTCCACTCGACCATCTGACCCCAAGCCTGGGATGTGGCTGTTTGAGGAGCCACTTTTCGACAATGATCTTTTAGTTAACACCATGTTTTCATCCAACACCCTGAAAAGTGTCTTCACTGAAGCTGGAGTCATCAAGCTTGGACATCTTGCAAGAACACCTGTAGAGAGTATGGCTGACATGACCGGTATACAATCAATCAGAGTGCTGCAGAACCTGGTGAAGGAGGTGTGGCAGTCTCTGTTGGGGCCTCTCCGGACTTTTGCTCAGAGTCGGGGTCTGACTGAACGTTGGAGGGAGGGCCAGGACTACATCTTCCCCTCCCTGAGTGTGAGTCCTGCGGTGGGAGAATGGAGGGAGGAGAGTGGACTGTTGCTGTCCTTTTTAAAGAGACCATTACTGGGAGTCTTCAGCTCCTGCACGGGGAAGCAGCTGTACCTCAGCTGTGTGAAGGTACTGAACCTGTGCTCCCTCACAGGAGTCAGAGAGTCAAGGTGGACAGAGGTTTTTGGCTCAGACTTTTCCCCTAATGGCAGCTGGAGGGTCCTGTATAAGCCTCCTGTTGAGAAACACATGGCGGATCTCCAATGGAGGATTATACATGGAACGATAGCTACAAACAGGTACAGAGCTCACCTTGATCGAGGCACTGGGGAGGGATGTCCCTTCTGCTCACAGTCAGAGACCATAGAGCACCTGGTGCTGTCCTGTCCCAGACTGGCAGCTCTTTTTAAAGTGGTGCAGGAGTGGGTGGGGGGTTTGGGGGAGGTTTTCTCTTTCCCACTCTTTGTCTTTGGAAAGATACGGTCTGTTGCCTCAAGGGTTTGGTGGCGGTACGTCTCAGGATTGAGCACACCTTTTTACAAACTGAACCAAAATTTGGATGGTTTCAGGAATGTGTGGGCTATTGGGCAAGTCCTGTGCTCACTAAAGGAAAATGGCTCCTTAATGCTGAATTTCTGAAGGAGTGTGTGTTTTGGTATTTAATCATGTTATTTAAATCACAGGGGCGGGGGCTCCGGACGTGGAGCGGCCGGCGCGTGGGGCCGGGGCTCCGGGCGAGGAGCGGCCGGCGGGTGGAGCCGGGGCTCCGGGCGAGGAGCGGCCGGCGGGTGGAGCCGGGGCTCCGAGCGCGGAGCATGAGACAGACGCCTCGGGCTCCCGTTTGAGTAAGCAGGTGCCCGAGGATAACAGCATGGAAGTGGGGTTGAGTGGGGCTGCACCAAATGAAAATAATGTAAAAATTGATCAACAGAAAAAAACTGTAAATACTGTGGTGGAGGGAGGAGGAGAAACCAAATCTGACATTGACAGCATGATTGAAGTGATAATGGAAGACGATTTTAATGAACAAAACATCAATCTTAAATACAGTAAAAGAAAACAACCAAATGAGCAGAGTCAGGGGGGAGGGAAGGCCATGAAGGTACTGGAGGACCTTTCTGAGGAAGAGGAGGAGGAGGAAGAGGCTGACTTTACTCCTTCTCAAAAAGAAAAAATCACAAATTACAGTGTGTCAAAAATCAAAAAGGTTTTAGCTGACACTAAAGGTCAATGGGCCGTCAAAGCGGAAAATTTTTTCCCAGATTTAAATGGTTTTATAAACTCTGTGAATCGTTTTAAAAGAGAGAACGCGTTCACTGAACAGGAAGTTTACAGACTCAGTAAGCTCAAAAAAAGGGTCAAAGAAACACTCAGAGTGACAAGTAACTGAATTTTATGATGTCGTGTTTTTTATCCCCTGTTTTTTTTGTTCGGTTCTTCTCACAGTTTTTATGAACATTCGTATTGGGACTCTAAATATAAATGGAGCTCGCTCGGACTATAAGAGAGCCTCTCTGTTCCAGCTGTGCCAGCTGAAAAAGCTGGACGTACTTTTTGTGCAGAAGACCCACAGTCTCACCCCCACAGTGACCAGAGGAATGAGGGGGACTGGAGAAGGGAGTGGCCAGGCCAGGTCTATCTGAGTGTCCAACAGTGCTGGGGTGGGGATCCTGTTCTCCAGGTTCTTTAACCCTCAGACTGTGCAGGTGCACCAGGTGATGGATGGACACATTAATGGTTAAGGCTCAGTATGAGGATTTTAAATTTGTTTTTGTGTGTGTTTATTAGTGGTGCAACGGATCACAACACTCACGGATCGGATCGTTCCTCGGATCAAGAGTCACGGATCGGATCATTTTTCGGATCAGCAAAAAGCAGTTTTGTCTGTATATTAAACACTTAAATGGTTGAATTAAAATATATAAAAGTAGTGCATACGGCATAATATCTTCTTTTCAACATAATTATTAATGAAAAACAACTTAAAGTGCAATATATAGGCATATCTCCTTCCTTTAAAATGTAACAATGAACCAAAAATGAAGTATGTGCGCGGTGGGATATTGTAACATGGCTCAAGCACTTTCAGCATGTTTTTAAAGCCCTGGTTTGCACAACTGAATATGGCCTCATGTCTGTAGCTATAAACACACCGATAGCGTTTGTGATAGCTTTAGCCCGGTCAGATTGCGCAGGAAGAGGCTGCTTAAATGCTGCGGTGATGAGCGGTTGCTGGCCAGCTTTCGTTTTATCTCAGGTGTTGTGACATAGAATGCACCCCTGCCGTAGAATGCACCCCCTGACGGGAGCGCGGTTTAAAGTACATAACGAGGCGAAATAATCCAAGTTTTTCTTACATTGGATGGATTCAAAAGCGTTTGCCTGTAATAATTTCATTCAGGCTATTCAAAGAAGCCAAAAACAACAGCCCTTGGAATATTGCTGTCCCGAAAATATAATGCTCTCTACCTGGACAGCTTTCTGTACAGTTTATACCCAAGTACACCTCTATATTTGCATTTTTGAGACACATAAAAAGAAAATGAAAGTTTGCTGCTCCATTTGACATGTTGTCATGATCTAATACTTGTGTTTCTTTAAATATGAGATCATTATCTCCACTTTAAGAAGCTAACGAGTGGAGGGGATGCAGGGGTGCGTTCTACGGCAGGGGTGCAGTCTACGGCACAACATCTGTCATTAAAACACCCGGGTGATGTCGCTTTCACATGCGTGAACATGCTCGATGTGTTTCCACTGTCATATGGCTTTCTTATGCCACAGTGCCTAAACACCTTCGCAGTTTTGTCCACTGACCTCTTTCCTTCCTCATCATAGTTGACAGGGAAGCCAAATTTTTTTTTTCAGAAATCGAACCGCGGGTAACGTGTGTGCCGAACCGATGACGTCGATCCGAACGGATCACGGATCAATGATGATCCGTTGCACCACTAGTGTTTATGCTCCAGTGCTGGCCAGAGACAGAATGCTGTTTTTAAATACTCTGTGTGATGTGGTGGGGGGTGTGGAGGAGGGTTTGTTATTCCTGGGGGGTGATTTTAACTGCACTGCTGATGCAGTGTTGGACAGGAATCACCTGGAGCCCCGTCCTGCCTCATCCACTCGGCTGAAAAGATTGATGGAGACTCATGACCTGAAGGATGTGTGGAGAGGCTTGAATGGCTCCACCAGGCAGTACACCTGGTCCCACTGCAAAGACAACAGCTTGTCTCTAGCCAGACTGGACAGATTTTATTGTTTTAAGCACCATTTCAGCATTTTTAAGAAATGTCTTATTGTCCCTGTGGGTGTGTCTGACCACTTTTTAGTCCAGTGTGACTTTTTTATTCAAAATGTGAAGACATCCAGCGCCTACTGGCATTTTAACACGGCTCTTTTAGAAGACTGTGCTTTTAAAGATGCTTTTAGGTCTTTATGGGCTTCACACAGGGACAGGAGGGCAGAGTTTTTATCAGTGCAGAGATGGTGGGACTATGGGAAGGTTTTAATTCAGCAGTTCTGTCAGCAGTATACTCGCAACGTCACCAAGCACATCACCAGATCCCTCCAGGTCCTGGAGACTGAGGTACAGAACCTGTTGGACTGTACAGGAGAAGGGAGGCATGTTGAGGCCCTCCAAAAGAAGAAGGCTGCCATAGCCAACCTGCTGGGCACAACAGCACAGGGGGCGCTGGTGCGCTCACGATACATGAACGCCTCCATGATGGACGCCCCATCGAAGTTCTTCTTCAGTCTGGAGTCAAAAAATGGACAGAGGAAGGTCATCCACAGCCTGCGCGCCGCTGACGGATCAACCATCACTGGGGCCTCAGAGATCCGCAGGCATGCCACATGTTTTTATAGAGACCTTTTTAAAAGTGAACTGGTGGAGGATCCACAGCTGGAGGCAGACTTTCTGTCTGACCTCCCTCAGGTGGGACAGTCAGGGAACTCTCTCCTGACGGCTGACCTGACTCTGGAGGAACTGCATGTGGCCCTCATGAGCTTGGCCAACGGAAAGGCCCCAGGCATCGACGGGATCCCAGTGGATTTTTATAAGACTTTCTGGCCCGTGGTGGGTGAGGACTTGCTGGAAGTTTTTCAGGAGAGTTTAAAAACGGGACTGTTACTGCAGAGCTGCAGGAGGGCTGTCATTACTCTGCTCCCTAAGAAGGGGGACCTCCAAGAACTGAAGAACTGGAGACCGGTCTCACTACTCTGCGGGGACTATAAGGTCCTCTCCAAAGCCCTGGCTCTACGGCTGCGAGAGGTGATGGCGGAGGTGGTTCATGTAGATCAGACATACTGTGTGCCCGGCAGACTGATCAGTGATAACATCACTCTGATTCGGCATGTTTTGGACGTCTCTAGCTCTTAAAGCGTTGACACTGGTCTGATTTCCATAGACCAGGAAAAGGCTTTTGATCGGGTTGAACACCAATACCTGTGGAAGACATTTGCCGCCTTCGGGTTCAGCCCAGATTTTATAGCCAGGGTTCGGGTTATGTACCGTGACGTTGCGAGCATACTCAAGATTAATGGTGGTCTGGCTGCTCCCTTCTGCGTTCAGAGAGGGGTTCGACAGGGTTGCTCCTTATCAGGGATGCTCTATTCCTTAGCGATAGAACCGCTACTGGAAAAAATGAGGAGGACTCTGACAGGAGTGCTGTTCCCAGGATGTCCTGCAGCGATAAAACTAACAGCATATGCTGACGACATCATGGTGGTTTTAAATACACAGAAAGACATTCAGGTTTTAGAGGACAACATCAATCTTTTTAACAAACTGTCGTCAGCCAGGGTCAACTGGGCCAAGAGTGTGGCCTTCACCACAGACAGGGACTCCTTGGGGGGGCTGGTGCTTCCTGGGGGGCTCCAGTGGACAGTGGGGGGGCTTAAATATCTTGGGGTGTTTTTAGGGGATGAACAGTTTTTAAAGAGAAACTGGGAGAGGGTCCTTGAGGCTGTCGAGGGCCGACTGAAGAGGTGGAGGTGGTTGCGGCCGTCCATGTCTTACAGGGGGAGGACCCTGATCATCAACAACCTGGTGTCGTCCTTCCTGTGGCACAGGTTGGCTGTTGTCGACCCTCCCCCTAACCTGCTCTCCAGGGTCCAGACTGTTTTAATTGACTTTTTATGGGACAAGCTTCACTGGCTCCCACAGGCGGTGCTGTTCCTCCCTGTGGAAGAGGGAGGTCAGGGGCTGGTGCACCTGGCCAGCAGGGGTGCAGCTTTCAGACTGCAGTTTATTCAGAGGCTGCTGTACGGGCCCCAGGACCTGGTGTGGAGGCCCCTGGCTCGGCTGATTCTGCGGAGCGTGGGCGGCCTCGGCCTACAGGAGACTGTGTTTTTATTGGATTTTAAGACTGAGTTTTTTATCCCTGCCAGAGTTTTACAGAGGCCTGTTCAGCGTGTGGAAGCTGCTGTGGAGGCAGAGGGTCCAGCACCAAACCTGCTGCTGGCTGCTGAGGGAGCCGCTGGGCCGCGGAGGCCTGCTGAGCAACCCCCCCTGGGCAGGAGCAGCGGTGGCCGAGGACCTGAGAACGGCGGGGATCACCACGCTGGGGACTCTACTGGAAATCACTGGACCCGACCTGCAGGAGACGGAGGAGCTGGCGAGGCGCTTGGGCTGGAGATCGAGGAGGAACGTAGTAACCTAGTGACACATTGGTCTATTTTGTACTGCAGGGACCTACCACATTTGACGTAGATGAAGGTTAACCCAAAGGTCAGGAGGTACCCTAACCCTATGGTGGTGGCTAGCAAGGTGTCTGGGGTGGACCAGACATAGACTATGGGTTGCAGCGGGGACTTCTCTTGTGATCTTATGTCTATAAGGACGTCATCAACAGGCGTTAGGTCAGTGGTCTGAGTACCTGCATATTGGATCTGAAAAATGGTACTTGGATCTAACTGGAGCGTATGCTTGCTGAAAAATGCTGGCACTTCAATCTCTGTTTCAATTTGATCAGGGTTGAGGTAATAGAGGGCAATGTCATCTATATGGAGAATGGCATTTGGTGGCACCTCAATCCACATGGTCTGATCCAGTAAAGAAATGCGTGTGGCAGTGTCGTGTTGGTCGTAATTTACAATGGCAGTCTTAGTGGGGGTGTTGACTAACCAACGGTGACCCACCCTTTCTGCCTGCGTTACAGTCACTTGTGAGCGGTGTCTTGCTGTAGTAGGGCATCGGGTGTCGGGCACCATGGTTGTAAGACCGCAGAGGCCGTTGGTACTATCCCACACAAATGGTTTACTGGGGCAGCGGTAGTGTATGTCTTTGGTTCGCGTGCACATACGCAAGTTAGGAGCTAGATACAGATCAGGATTGCTGTCGTGGTAAGCGACCACTGGTGGGGTCTGAATTTGGAGATGTGTGTGTGTCCCCTTTCCAAAAGCCGACATTGACTACATCCTTTAACCTATAGATGCTTCCTGATGCTATAATTGGCAAGTTGATGAGGAAAGCAATTTCTCGATCTTCGAGATTAACGTAGATCAGCACAGCGCTATCTAGGGTATACGCGAGGTGGGCTTGTAAAGGAGTGATGGCCTCTCTGGTTGCAGTTGATAGTAAATCCTGGACTAATGAGAGAGGTACCAAATACAGAGGGATCCGGCCTGCAGCTAGGCTGTCTATTGATGATGAGATTTCTTGCAACATGTCTTACATGAGCATATTCAACAGCATTGTGTGAGCATAGTCGACCTGGACCACCGACAACAAGGAATTTACAGCACGCAGCGTCTTATTCAGGACTTCTGTGTGGGTGTTAACTACCAGGATGGTGCCCTTGACTGTTTGACCGATAGTCTGCAGTTGTGTCTGCTGTCTGCTTATCTGAGCCCTGATGTCTGGAATTTCAGCTTCTAGCTCACCCACATGGCGTTTGACGGTAGCTAAGCTAATTGCATTAACAGAGGAGAGCCCAATACCAAAAAGAGAGCCAACAATCGAGGCTGCGGTGAGCAGCACTCCAATAAAACGTTTGGACCTCCTGTTGGTACCACTTAACTCTGTTTGGGTGACAGTGAATTTCTGAAGCTGCTCTAACATGTAAGTAATGTCCAACTCTGCGTGATTCACGACTTCCTTACTCCAATATGTCCCGGCCCGACTGGTCAGCTGAGCTGTTACTGGAACATTTTTCTTGAGGACTTCCTTAGGGTTGAGCCTGACAAACACCTTCTGTGTGTGCAGGCGACAGTCCGTTATCAGGAGTCCAGGCTGATCCCTTAAAACAATTCCAGAGTCCGGTCCTGGCTCTACAATCTCAGGGCTAGCTGGAGCAGCTACCAAGCCAAGAATCAGGAAATCATCCTGGGGAAGAGGGTGGACATCGTTAGGATGAGTTGGTATCAGACAATCTAAAATTCAAATGGTCCCTATCACTTTATCTACTCCTCCCCCCTTTGTTACCCAAAGTGTGCCCCAGGGCAACTCAGTGACAACAATTAAACACCAATACAGACGTACAAATAGGACAAACTTCACGTAGACACAATATATCAAAGGACTAGGGGACCTGACGTTAATCAGGAGTGCTTGTAACTGTTCTAGTTTATGACTCAAGGGTGGCGCTGGAGGCCCCAACAAGTCCCATGGGGTTGTGGTGAAGCTTGATCTGGTTGCGGTGGACCCATTTAAGGGTCGGCTCTTTGTTGCCCTTTGTGATCTTGATTTGGTACACAACAGAAGAGAGCTTTTCAGTGATCAGGTCGGGGCCTGCCCAGCCAGTCTCCCAGACTTTGGGGCTTTGTCTCCAGTGGGCTGGGTGGACAGGTAGTAACAAACCTTGTCACCCACCTGGAGTTCCTGTTGGGAGGCTTTTTGGTCATAATAGGACTTGCGTCCTTCTGCACTTTTACTGAGATGCACTTGGGTAAAGGCAAAATTTGCCTTCAGGTGCTGGTGTAGGTCAGTCATGTACTGATGAGTCGTGTAGGCCGTCGCAATACTGGCCTCACCTGGCTGATACAGCAGGTGCAGAGGCAGTGTCATCTGTCTGCCCGTCATCAGCTCGAAGGGTGAGAACCCGGTTGACTCATATGGAGTCGCTCTGATGGCCATCAGGACCAAGGGAAGCTTAATATCCCAGTCCTTGTGGTTGGCCGACACGTACTTTTTCAGTATGGTTACCACTGTTCGGTTTGCCTGTTCTACCTGTCCAGACGACTGGGGGTGGTGGCTGATGTGGAAGTTGGCTTTGATGCCCAACAGTTGCCACAGTTGTTGCATGACCTCTGATGTGAAGTGTGTCCCTCTGTCAGAGTTGACACGAATTGGGAGTCCGAACCGCGAGAAGATGCAGTTAATCAAGAGGAAGGCTGTGGTCTGAGCCGTATCGTTTGGGGCTGGTAGGCATTCTACCCATTTGGTGAATGCACAGACAACTGTGAGGAAGTATTTGTGTCCTTTTGCTGACTTGGTGAGAGGACCCACCCAATCGATCAGGATGTCTGACCTAGGAAAGGAGATACCTCTGCGCTGTAGGGGTGCTCGGTGAAGTGGATTTGCCGGTTGAAATTGGCAGCAAACCAGGCACCCTTTTATGTAGTCAGCTACATCTTTCTGCATGTGTGGCCAATAGGCCACCTGTTGGAGTGCATGGAGCGTGGCTTTGTTTCCTCTGTGTCCTGCGCACGGTGTGTCATGGGCGTATGTCAACATCACCCCCCTGTGGCTGCGAGGCACCACCAAGGCAGGGGAAGTGAGTGCATCAGAGACGTAAACCAGAAAGCCCTTGACAAGCTGCAGCGAAGAGCGCACGCGGAAAACATAGCGCAGGTCAGGGATGGAGTTATGTAAGTCAGGAGACATGGAGGAGTCAGGAGGCCTTGAGAGGAATTGCGTCATGGCAGCGATGGCTGGGTCTGAAGCCTGGAGCGCCAGCAAGTCAGAGTCAGAAAAGGCCGGAGCCACAGTGGCGGAGACCGGGCCCGAGGGAGCCGGGCAAGGCGGAACTTGAGACTGGGCTCTGGTGATGGCACAAACCAGGGGTACGGGCGAGATGGGAAAAACAGAGGGCTCAAAGTGCCAGTTTGAGCCAGTTAAGGCTCCTTGCTTGGCCAAGGAGTCAGCCTGGTCATTAAACATCTTGTCTGGACCAAGAATACGAGAGTGCCCCCTGACTTTCTTCCAGTAGATCTGAAGATCATGTTTAGTGGTCAAGAAGTCGCACGCCAGGAACAGTTCTTTGTGGAAGCGCAACGGTTTCTTGACCTCAAACAGAGAGCCGGTCAAACACAAAGGCAGATGGCATGAGAAGCTGAGTCGAGCATAGTTGGAGTCTGTACAGATCGTCAAGGCGTGGATTTTGTGTTCCACAGCAAGTTGCAAAACAATCAGAATGCCTGCCACTTCAGCATACTGGGACGTTTGGGCCCCTAGGTTGAAGCTGAGTGGTTCACACGGTTTTTTGTCGACCCAGATGACACCCACGCCTGCTCGGATAACAGTGTCGTGATGGTATGAGCAGCCATCAACGTAAGCTGTAATTATGTCTTTGCAGACATTGTCGTCAAAGTACCGGTGGCAAGATAGTTCAGGTGGCTCAGGGTCACAGGTCGGGGACCTTGTGTCCAAGCTGTCTGTCAAGTAGCTTTGGCACGCTGCGAGTTCCATACCGAGAGGTGTTTTGCGGTTTTGGGTGTAGTGGACCTCGATGTCAAAGCTCTGAAGAGCCATAAGCCAAGATGCTACACGTGCATTGGTCACAACACCGTCTCTGATTCTTTGGCTGTTAAGGAAGGTCACTGGTTGATGGTTGGTTTCCACAATCACCTTTTGGCCTCCAAGATAATTGGAAAAATGCTTCACAGCCCACACAGTGGCAAGAAGTGCTTTTTCGCAGTCAGAGAACTTCAGTTCAGGAGCCAACAAGGTTTTGCTAGCATATGCGACGACTCGTTTATCTGAGTTATGGATCTGGTATAGTCCTGCACTGAGGCAGTGACAAGAGAAGCCGACCTCCAGATAGAACGGTCTGTTGTAGTCTGGGTAAGCAAGACAAGGAGCTGCACAAAGTCTGTCTTTTAAAGCTTGCATGGCGTGTTGTTGTTGGTTTGACAGTCCCTGAATACGACTCAGCTGCGGTTCGACACCTGTTGGACCAACAAGCAAACCAACGTAGTTCACCTTGGTCCTGCACCACTGACATTTGGACAGGGATATCTTTGCCCCGGCGTTCGTGAGCTGGTTCAGGACATGGTCAATCTCAGCGAGATGCATGTCCAGGTTTTGGCTCCTCATTAAGATGTCGTCGACATATATGAGGGTGCCTCTCTCACTAGCATCTGGGCAGGCTTTGTTGAGGAAGATATTGAACTCTGCTGGCGAGTTGGCATAGCCAAAAGGGCATCGGGTGAAGGTGTATTGCCTGTTGGCAAAAGTGAACGCCAGTTTGTGCTGATCAGCTTTGTGTACTGGTATCGTCCAGAACCCTGATGCCACGTCAAGAATGGAGAAGTATCTTGCATCAGTGATCTTTGGCAGATCCTGTTGGAGCTGAGCCATAGGCCACCTGGAAAGGGGAACTTGTTGGTTCAGTTTACGGTAATCAATGGTCAGTTGCCATTTACCGTTTGGTTTCAGTACCGGCCAGAGTGGGGCTGAGTAGGTACTGTTACATGGCCGAATGATCCCCTTCGCCAAAAGATCGTCTATGATTTCCTGAATAGGTTCATAGGACGCTAAGGGAATTTTGTACTGGCACACAAAAGTTGGTGGTGCATCCAGTGGTTTCAGAATGCGGACAGAGTGGATGGAGGTTAAGCCACAGTCAAGCGAGTCTTTTGCGAAAGAGGCTCGATATTTGTACGGAAGTTTGCGAAGCTTTTCACGCTCCTCTTCGCCATTCAGGGCATCAGCCTCGGCTAAGAGCTGTTCGACTTTGGCATCAAAGTCTGGATCGTGCTCAGGTGTTTGCACGGTTGGGGAGATAGAGGGCTCTACCCTGGAAGGTGTAGGGGCCGCTTCTGGCTCCAAACTGACATTTAGGACTTGCACTGTGTGCAGAACCATCTGTGAGTCTTCAGAGAGGTCGACCTGACAGATGGTGTCATGGTCCAGCGGTACAGTTGGGAAGAGCGAGATAGCCCTGGAAGGTAGGGTATGAAAGACCTGTTCCGATGACTGATCTGATATAAGAGAATGAGGCATTTTTCCTATTACAGGAAACCTCAATTCAAAGTCGTGGAAGAAGTGCTGATCAACCAACCCAGCGGGGTGGATTTAGGGATCAGGCAACTCAGAGCTTCACTCGAGATTCACACACTTGCTTGTACAAAACACGACATCAGAGGATATCCTGAGTAGACAGCCCTAGTTCAAGAAAGAGCAACGATGGCTGGAAGAAAGCTTGAGTGTGCGACAGCTTTTGTCCACGTTATAGGTTCAAGCGAATGGGAAAGTTTTTGGTCATCGCAGGTATGACAATGTTGTGTTCATTGGCTACCTGACAGGCTTCAGGGATCGACTGTCCTGATATGATTTTATCGACATCAGGGGTCTGGGTTTCCTCATGTACACCGGTAAGTGACCACAGCACTTTGTTAATGGTATGGACCTGGACTGCCAACCTGACCAGTATATCACTTCCCATGTAGACAGGATGTGGTAGGTCTGGGATGACCAAGAAGTGGTGAGTCATCTCCCTTTTGTTCCATCGCACAGTTAAGGCACAGGCGCCTTCAGCGGTTGTGGTAGCTTTAGGAAGGGAGTCTAAGGGAAAGCAAAATGCTTTCCGAACACACTGAAGGTTTGGGTCATCCCTAGACAAGTTGTCATACAGTTCACAGCTGATGGCCGATTTGTCAGCCCAAAGAGCCAAAATCACATCGTTGATGTGATTCTCATTCAACTTAACGCCATCAGTGATCAATGGCCATGGGGTGTCGGGTCCATTGATGTCGTCCAATTTGCACAAAAACGTGTCTCTTTTCATGACTGAGTCATCAAAAGGCCACGAGCAAGGTTGTGGCTCATCGTCAGACAAGTAGGGTTGCTCCGGTGAGCTTACACTTGCCGGTGTGCTTGTAGCGAGTTGACGCGTCAGGGCATAACACTGAGCCCAATTTCTGTCGGTTGCTGGTATGGGTAATGGTCTGCGGACCTGTGCCCATATTTTCAGCTGTCGATAATCGATCAGGGGCTCAAACCATTTTAAAAGGTCTTGACCAATGAGGAAAGGAATCGACTCAAGGGGTGACACATACACGGGGTGCACAATGTTCTTTGGTCCAATGGAGATGTTCAACATGGTCATTGTTTTTTAAAGTCGTACTGTCTGTGGAGTACGGCTGAATCTCCATGGCGCAGGGCTGCAGCTTGATGTCCCTGTTGGACTGCTGCACCATATTCCGCAAGCAGTTAAAAAGCATTGAGGACATCAGAGTGATGTCAGCAGCAGTGTCTAAGAGTGCTTCGTGTTGAAGTTCATTTTCAAGAACGGTGTTGATGTAAAACTTCTGTGCGATGCCTTTCTCAGTGAGGTTGCACAAGAATTGGAGGAAAGGTGGTTCAAACCGAATACGTGAGGAGTCTTCTTCGGCTGGCTCCTATGCGTAGTTCGCCGGCACTACCAAGACGGCACTGGTAGATGTCGTTTCCTGTGATGTACTGTCCTGAGGTTCAAGATCGACAGAGGTGTCAGCCGGTGAAGGTGTCGCCGACTCCTGTAAGGCCTTACACACTTCCTCCTGAACTGCAGTCTGCTGGACAGACACCAAGCTTGGCTCGGAAGTGTCAGCCTGGCGGTGACAGCGATGGCGAAGAGATCTGCTTTATTATCTCCTTTTCTCCGTATTCTACTGATTATTTGCCTAAGAAGTTTGCGTTCTTCCTCTGTCAGATCAGAGGACTTTGATTCACCTTTTAGATCCATCAGAGGGTCTGATTTGGTCTTTGTACCCATCTCTTCGTCAGATAATACCGACTGAGACTGCGAGGGTATGAGGGTGGACCATTTTCATCAAATCTAACCTGGTGTTGTCCACTGTCTGATATCGGGGAGTTTTCAGATTCTGGGTTTGTCGGGCATGGCATCTGTTTGACAACAGGGAGGCGTGGCAGTCGGCTAAACTGCAGTCTGTTTATAATGACGTCCGAGCAAACAAAGGCCACGTGGCTGTGAGCCGGCTTGCAGTGCTTGCCGCTCACCACACAAGGGTGATGTTCTAGAGGGCGGTTCAAACGCTCCGTACGTCGTGACGTTAGGACGTAGCTATTGGGCTCCACCCCTCGGGGTGGCGTGCCTGTTCACGCACCAATCGACTGTGTCCGTTAGAGAGACTAAAGGGTTAACACCTCACTGCGGCTGCGCAAGCAGTGGCAATGAAAAAGTTCATGCTGCCTCTCTAACAGTGGATTGCTTCACTATACTCCTCTCAGGAGTAACAAGAGTTACACAGACAGATCTTACAACGGCAGACAAAACTGCGGACTTAAATTCACAAAATGCGGCGATTTGTGAAAAAGAATTGTGTCTGAAATCACTCTAACAAAACCTCTCACTGGAAACAGTGATCTCCCGCGACAGGTAGCTAATCTGCCGGGGGAATGAGGAATAACTGAATCCTTTACAGTCACTAGAACTTCGTAGCAGACTATGCAGGGTTCGGGGACTCGGAACCACGGCTCGGAGCTTCGCGAACACCGGGTCCGGCCCAAGGCCTTCTAATACAAGCGTACGGCAACGCTGAAATCGTGCACCCAAAAGTTAACAGTCTGGGTACGCGCGGCGGCGGCGCGCAGAGCAGAAAACGCAGCCTCGCTGCAATCAAAACAATGATCCACGTGGTCTAGGCTCACACACAAACGTATGCAGCAGCAAAATCAGCGCTTCAACAAGAGCTCATATCATCAGAACATGAAACAGAAACACATCAAACGCCCAGTTCAGCAATTTCAAAAATGCATCAGACATACATCAAGCAATCAATCCAGTAATTTCAGCAAGCATAGCATAGATCTTAAGGAGTCTAAGTTGGGAAAGTTGGGTTTCTCACTAGTTTGGGGAGATAATCTTAAGGTTGTCTGTTAGTGTTTCCAGAAGTCGTTTGAAATGAGCCTCACACGGCCGCACCAAATAATATGTAGTGATTTGAATTCAGAATAAATGTCCAAAATGAATAAAATTAAATTATGACATTTATGCACTCGTTGAAGGGGCACCACCCACCTTTCTGGTGGGAAAAGGACGAAACAAAGTTCAATTGAGTAATCAAACGTTGAATCAGTCTTAAACAGATTTAAATCAATCTCTCATCTGAGGCCGGAATTCTTATGCAATCGTTGTTCCCCAATGCAGCCCGTCGACTGGCAGCGAAATAACTTAACTTGATATTAAAAGCGAACTAGATCGAATTTACTCACTCACTATGATTAAACTGTTTATAACATCACATACAATCACATTTCACTTCATTGTTTCTTATGAGCAGATGCATTAAAACATGACATTGAACAAAAGTCAACTTTTGATCAGCCGTTTTCTTGATAATAACAGAGGATTAACGACTTTTTTTGAAAGTTAAAGAGGGACAGAAAACCAAATTATCTCTTTAAAAAGAAACACCATCCAGCATAAGAAACACATACGTGATGATACTTGACAACAATATAACCTTGTCAATCAAGCTTCATAAATGATTTAACATAGATATATTTGGGTGAGGTAAATAAAAACATAGTATTTATACATTCAAAAACTCTTAACTTGAGTCTAAAAGAGTTTCCTGTTACTACTTCTAAAACTGCTAACCTATCTTGGGAATACCATTTTACTAAGCTACGAAGTATATAAAACAAAAGGAAGAAATGCACATAATCAAATTCACTGAATACACATTTGGTTCTGACCAAACCATATTCAGGCAACACCACAAGGAGGAGCTCTTCCACATCATCATTTCATTGATGATGTGGTGTACAGATTGAAAATGGTTTAACTTCAGGTTTAATGGACACTTCACCAGGATTTTCTGTCATCCTCTTCCTCCTGCACCTTAAAGAGAGCCATGGAAAAACACAGTCATTCAAAGGATTTATGGTAGGGGTCTGTTCCAGGGATTGGCGCCAAAATGCAGCCTTGGAGAATGTTCTCATGCTCTTTTTGGGTCACTCCTTAAACTGAGGTGTCACCTATGACCTTTTCCAGCCAAGGTGAGAGGCTCCATGTTTATTCGGTGTGGGGGTCATGTGGTTGATAAGCAACTTGTCTCTTTAAAGCGTGAAGATTCACTATCAACCTTTTGGGAGAGGCCCCCCTTTGGTTCTGTCCTGGATCGTAAATGGCCATAAGTTAAGTGTGAAATGTTACCCCCATTTCCTCCCCTAATCAGGGAAGCCTGCATTCCTTTGAGTGGGTGAATTAAAGATGGACAGAGCAGAAAGCAGTCATCTTGTTACACTCTCTACCTCTCTCTACATTCCTCCCCAACCCAGCAGCGGCATGGTGGCTGTCTGGCATGAGTCGGGTCCTGCCCAAGGTTTCTGTCTGTTAAAAGGAAGTTTCCTTGCCACTGCTACTCATGTTAGTTGAGATGGGCCAAAACCCATCTTAGGTTGGTTCTTCATCATCAAACAATGAGCATGGTCTAGACCTGCTCTTATTCTTTTAAAAAGCGTCCTGAGATGATGACTGTTGTGAACTGGCACTATATAAATAAAATTTGATTGATTGATTTGAAGTATTGAGTGCATGGAAATGAACATACTTTTCAGAAGCCTGACATTTCTGTTTAAAATATCCTTTTTTTTCCCATTGATCTTATGTAATATTCTAATTTACTGAGACAATGCATTTTGGGTTTTCATTATCTATAAGCCACAATCATCAAAATTTCAAGAAATAAATGTTTGAAATATTTCAGAATGTGAAACCCATATAATATATGGATTCATTAATCATAGAGTGAAACGAGTGACAAAAAATATTGAACTTTTTCATGTTCTAATTTTTTGAGATGTACCTGTAGTCTCTCCAGCGTGTCCTGGGTCTTCCTGCAGCTTCCAAGCCACCTCATCTGACTCCTCTCAATGTGAAGGAGCAGCGGCTCTACTCCAAGCCCCTCCTGAATGACTCTGACTCTAAAACAATATGTTCTCTCTGGTGTCACACAATATCCTCCACACAATCATTAACCAAAAAAGGAGCAGGCTGAAGCCCAAAGGCTTATTTATACTTCACCTAAAAACAACCATGAGATATCCCAGAATATCAGCAAACTGAAAAAAATAAGTACAGAAAAAAAACAAATGCAACAAAAGAACTACTACTCAAAATTGTGTAGCTCCATGATAAATTTAAAAAAAGCTTTAAAGTATAAAATAATTAAGGACTACAATTTAATTTCATCAAGTTCATTTCATAGTTTGGCTCCCAAAACTGAATGTATTTTACATTCATTCTCACTTTACATGTTTTGAAAATACACAACCGGCTTAAATTAAACTTTCCTTCTCAATACATATACATATTCCTTCTTATACCTTTCCTTCTCTTAAAAAAATGCTGAACACAAAAGGGAAGGCTTTTATTCTGAACTATAAAGAGTATTTCCAATGTCTTTATATATTTATTTAGATTGTACTTTTCACAGACAGACTTCACAAAGTGCTTTCCTGAAACGAAGAGGGAACAAAAGAAAAAATAGATAATACAGTGTGCAAATACAAAACACCTTCCCTCAGCCAGAAGAGCCAATGAAGACTAACAAATAACCGATACAATGAGAGGCAGTTTAGAGAAGTGGAACGGCTGAAGATGGATTTCCAATGTGCCTGTCTAAACAGATCTGTTTTATCGTTTTTTTTCGAAGTCTTAGGAGAGCCATCAGAACATTAAGAAAAAGGTAAAGAATTCCGGAGATCTGGCACTACGGCCTTTATAAAAATCCAATCTCCACAAGTCTTTGGGTGTGTCTGTGGGAGAGACAGCAGGTGTTGAGAGTTGGACCTCAGGGGAAGGAGTGAGAGTGAATGAGTTCTGACAAGTATTTTGGGTGAAAAGTGAGAGGGAGAGTTTTGAATTTATTCCTGTAAGCCACAGTGAGCCAGTAAAAATAAATCAGTATTGAAGAGATGGTGAAACCGTTTGACCTTGTGAGTGATCCAGCAGCAGCATCTAGTACTGACTGTAGGCAGTTTCAAGCAGAGGTAGTAACAGAGGTGAAAAGAGGATTACTCTACTCAATACAGGATGAAATAGGAGCACGAATGAGCATTTTAAGTTTTTTTCCTAATAACACAGCAGGTCTGTGGTTCATGTTTCATTGAGATGAATAATTCCATATCTGCGTGCCCGGTTTCAGTCACAGATGAGACAGCCAGATGCTCTACCATAACTAGATTTGAA